TGAGCTTGCAACTTGGGAGCCCATAGTGGGGGTGCTAGGGGGCGCAGGGGCCATTGTAGGAACGGGAAGGAGTTTGGAAAAGGTGCGGGGGCAGGAAAGGGAGGCTGAGAGAGGGGGCCGGCAGGGGCAGGGGGGAGGGACTCTTATCCTGACAGGGCTCCCGCCTTCCCTGACTGGAGGGTTTGGAAAAACTGAGCAGGCAGCCAAGGCTTGGCTGGAAATCCTGCAGCCCACCCTCCTGGGGACACAAAGCTGGAGGGCGGGGGCAGGGCGGGGGGAGAGAGCAAGACCCCGGGGAGGACAGGGCCTCTTTTGGGGCTGGGGGCCCAGGGGCCAGGACCCTGGGGAAGGGGTTCCTGGCGCTGTCTCCCTGCAGTCTGCTTCCCCCTTTTCCTCTACCCCCTCTGCTTCCCCCTCCTCCCCCTCCGCGGCTCCAGTCTTGCAGATTGCGGGCAGACTTAACTCCTTGAGTGCCAGCCTGGTGGACTCTGTGGTGGTGACGCTGTGAGGGAGGGAAGGAGGAGGGACTCCGGACCCCACTCCCACCCACAGTTTAACACCTTATGCCCCGGAAAGAAATCCCGGAACTGGTCGGGTTCCAGGGCCCTGAAAGGTTGCCTGGTTCTGGAGTAGCCACACGCAAAACAAGGCACCTGAGAGTTGCAGAATAGCCTGCTCTCTTGCCTCATCTTCCCTGCCTCTCCTCCCCACTGCTACCCTCTGGGTCTCTCCCGCCACTCTTCGGCCACCCTCCCCCCACCCCACCCCCCATCTCCAAGTAGCAGCCGACAGCCGAGATCCCTGCCAGATTGAAGACTGCGGGGAGCCAGGAAGCCTGGGTTCCGTAGCTGCCTCAGCGCTCTCCTCTGCATCCCACCTCTGAGGCCCAGCGCAGGTGACCGCAGCCCACGCCTCTCTTGCCCTCAAAGGGGCTGCTTCACCCATCTGGGGAGCTAACTACCCAACGGAGGCAGGGGACGCTAGCCTCTCCCAGCTCCAGCGAGGACAAGGACCTGAGTAGCTGGAAACCTGACTTCACCTCTGCCGTAGCCCCTCCCCTAGCGAACAGCCCCTCCCCCGTCCGCTGTGCCCCTTCAGCTCTGCTTTGAATCACTGCCGAGCGAGCACCGCAGACTAGGCAGGAAGGGGTTAACGCAGCTACTGAGCTCGACTGGAGCGCCAGGTGAGGCACCGCCCATCTTGGCCTTCAGGTGTGTGGGTGGGGAAGAGGAGGGACAGTGACCTTAAGGGCTGATTTTTTGCCCCCTGGTGGCTAAATCTGGCTTAGCAGCCGCTGGCAAAAACATGCTCACAGGGGGATTAGCCGAAGAAGGACATTGGCAACAAGAGTAGAGTGTTCCTCTTGCGGGAACGGCACCTTCCGAGGGAAGATCATTCTGGGAAGGCTAGTGGAAGGAGCGAGCTCCTACGGTCCCTGCCACACCATCCCGATCAGCAGGCTGCCTCAGCCATTTCCAGATCCTTGCCTTAGGGGCTCTGCTTGTGGGTCCCAAACACCTAGATGAGCGTAGGAAAAAAACAGAAGATATAGGCCCTGTCCTCCCAGGGTCTTCATCTAATAGAGAGAGTCCATAGGAGAAAACTACTCCTACCTTTTCTTTCTGTGCCCCAGGCCTTCCCAGACCCAGGCATCAAATACAAACCTCCAGCCTGGCTTCAAAGCTCCTACCAGCTACCCCAACCCCCTTCAGCTTCTCTCCCCTCCAGCCAAGGTGCATTTTGGGTCCCTCCCAGTAAAAAGACTCCACTTGAGGGATTCCAGGTGCTCTTATCTCCAGCATGGCTGAGACCCTTCCTCCCATTTGCCCTCTCTGGTTAGCAAAGCCAATAATCTTAAAGAGCTCCTTCCCCTCCCCGCTTCAATTGCCTACGTTTCTCCCTCTCATTTCCCACTACTTTCAAGACTTCTTTTTGTATAGGCCATTCACCCAATTGGAGACAATTCTGTCCTCCTTGTACCCTGTGATACCTCAACAATTGCCTTTTCTCCCAGCTCGATGGTAAGCCTTGAGTCCCAGCTACCGAGAGGGACGATCCCTTGAGCCCAGGAGTTCTGAGCTGTGATGCACTGTGCTGATGGGTATCCATACCAAGTTCAGCATGATATGGTGACCTCCTTGGAGTGGGGGACTGCCAGGTTGACTAAGGAAGGGTGAACTGGCCCAGGCCAGAATGGAACAGATTGAAACTCTGGTCCTGATCATAGTGGAATTGGGCATTCCAGCCTGGACAACATAAGAACATCCGTCTCTTTATTTTTTTCAAACACCAACTCAAAAAAACTGGGCCTGGTAGCTCACACCTGTAATCCCAGCACTTTGGGAGGCCGAGGCAGGTGGATCACCAGGTCAGGAGTTTGAGACCATCCTGGCCAACATGGTGAAAGAAACTCCATCTCTACTAAAAATACAAAAAAAATAGCTGGGCGTGATGGCATGCCCCTGTAGTTCCAGCTATTCAGGAGGCTGAGGCAGGAGAATCTCTTGAGCCCAGGAGGTGGAGGTTGCACTGAGCCGAGATTGTGCCATTGCACTCCAGCCTGGGCAAGAAAAGTAAAACTCCATCTCAAAAAGAAAAAAAAAAAAAAAAAAAGGCCAGGTGAGGTGGCTCATGCCTGTAATCCCAGCACTTTGGGAGGCTGAGGCAGGCAGATCACCTGAGGTTGGGAGTTTGAGACCAGCCTGACCAACATGGAGAACCTATCTCTACTAAAAATACAAAACTAGCCGGGCATGGTGGCACATACCTGTAATCCTAGCTACTTGAGAGGCTGTCAGAGAATCACTTGAACCCTAGAGACGGAGGTTGTAGTTGCAGTGAGACAAGATTGTGTGCCATTGCACTCCAGCCTGGGAAACAAGAGCAAGACTCCCTCTCAAAAAAAAAAAAAAAAAACTTTGGTCTGAGAGTCCAAAGTACAAGACCTTGGCCTAGTCACTCCCTGTCTCTGGGTTGCAATTTCTTCAAATGTAAAACAAGAGGCTTAGGTGCCTTTATCTTCGTGTTCTTCTTTATCCTGTAGATAGCCATTAAATAGCTGGATTGTTGAGAGAAAACACTCACTTAGCTCTGATCTGCATGGGGCTAGCAGAGCTCATAAACCCTGGAGAAGCTATCAGAGGCAGGGCCTCAGAGAAAGCCAGTCAGTCAGTCACCTGTGTCTCGCCCACTGCCCCCTTGGTCTGGCAGTTCATCCTGGGAACATCTCATTCTTGCCACTAATGGAAGGCAAGAGGCTTTCTGAGATTATGCTGGAGGGGAAAGCATGCCCACAATGTATTTAGTTACTGCAGCAATCTGCTTTAATATGTAGCACTATAGGACTTTTTGTTTGTTTGTTTTGCTTTTTTGTTTTTGAGATGGAGTCTTGCTCTGTTGCCAGGCTGGAGTGCAGTGGCTCAGTCTCGGCTCACTGCAGCCTCCACCTCCCAGGTTCAAGCGATTCTCCTGCCTCAGCCTCCTGAGTAGCTGGAACACAAGCGTGCACCACCATGCCCAGCTAATTTTTGTATTTTTTTTCTTTTTTCTTTTTCTTTTTTAAAGACAGGAATTCACCATGTTGGCCAGGGTGGTCTTGAACACTTGACCTCAGGTGATCCACCTGCCTTGGCCTCCCAAAGTGCTGAGATTACAGGCGTGAGCCACCACGCCCAGCCTGTATTTCTTTTTTTTTAAATTAGAGACCGGGTTTCTCCATGTTGTTCAGGCTGGTCTCAACCTCCCGACCTCAGGTGATCCACCTGCCTCGGCCTCCCAAACTGCTGAGATTACAGGCGTGAGCCACCACGCCTAATTTTTGTATTTTTAGTAGAGACAGGGTTTCACCATGTTGGCTGAGATGTTCTCAATCAATGTCTTGACCTCATGAACCACCTGACTCAGCCTCCCAAAGTGCTGGGATGACAGGCGTGAGCCAGAACTGTTATTTTTGAGAGATGGAATGTTCTCAGGTGAGGAAACTGCATGGTGAAGGTCCAGAGTGGTGAAAGGACTTGCCTGAAAACATAAGGCTGGTGGTGATAGCTGGAAGAGGTACCCAGGCCTCCTGATTCCCTGTCCAGACTCTTTCCACAACACCACTGCAGCACTTGTTCCAACTTTCCATTGGACTTCTTCCTGTGTCTGGCTCATTTCCCTGTGAGGCCATAGATCTGGGAAGGCAAGCTTGGCTCCTTATCTGGACATCCCCCAGAGCCTGGAGGGGTGCTCAGAACCTGCTGTCTCCCAGGTCCCCCTTTTTTCTCTCATCATGACCCTGTTTATATTTATGTAGCTCTCTTACTCGTTCTAAAAAGGCTTCCTTGGATTGTGGACAAAGTCCTGGGCCAGGCATAGTCCCAATCCCAGCCAGACCTAAAACCTACTCTGTGACTTAAAACAAACTGATTCACTTCCCTGGGCCTTGTGTTCTCCATCTGTCAAGACCCATAACCTGGGCAGGCGAGGTGGCTCATGCCTGTAATCCCAGTACTTTGGGAGGCCGAGGTGGGTGGATCACTTGAAATGAGGAGTTCAAGACCAGCTTGGTCAACATGGTGAAACCCCATCTCTACTAAAAATACAAAAATTAGCTGAGTGTGATGGTGCGTGCCTGTGGTCCCAGCTACTCAGGAGGCTGAGGCAGGAGAATCGCAACAGAATGAGACAAAACAAAAAAAAAAAAAAAAAAAAAAAACCTATAACCTATTCTAACTCCTAGATTTGTAATCTCAGCTCTGAAATCCAAATCAGGAAGTGTTTTTTAAAGACATAGCTTTGGCTGAGAGCAGTGGCTTACACATGTAATCCCAGAATTTTGGGAGGCCAAGGCGGGTGGATCACCGGAGGTCAGGAGTTCAAGGCCAGCCTGGCCAAAGTGATGAAACCCCATCTGTACCTAAAATGCAAAAAAAAATTAGCCGGGTGTGGTGATGCACATCTGTAATCCCAGCTATTTGGGAGGCTGAGGCAGGAGAATCGCTTGAACCTGGGGGAAGGAGATTACAGTGAACTGCGATTTACACCACTGCGCTCTAGCCTGGGCGACAGAGCAAGACTCCATCTCAAAAAAAAAAAAAAAAAGATGCTGAATAATTAAATGATATGAAGTTTATGCAGGCAGTGCAGATTGCATCCTCAGGTAGACCTGGTGGAGAAAGAGAAAACTGACCTGGGCCTGGAAGGACAGGCCAGGGACAGAGGCACACAGAGGGCTCAGTGAGGGGCAGGGAAAGAGCAAAAGCAGGACGAATGTTGATGGGAAGGTAGTGAATCTCAAAGACCAACTTCCTAGTTTAAGTTCTCTCTTTTTCTGAAAAGTGGTCTCACTTTGTTGCCCAGGCTGGAGTGCAGTGGTGTGATCATGGCTCACTGCAACCTCAACCTTCTGGGCTCAGGTGATCCTCTCACCTCAGCCTCCTGCGTAGCTGGGACCACAGGCATGTACCATGACACCTGGCTAATTTTTGTATTTTTTGTAGAGATGGGGTTTTGTCCTGTTGCCTAGACTTGTCTCAAACTCCTGGGCACAAGCAACCCTCCTGCCTTGGCCTCCCAAAGCACTGGGATTGTGAGCCACTGTACCCAGCCTTCAAATTCTTTCTGATGCTTACCTCTTTCCCAAATTTCTGGCCAGCAGTGTGTCAGCATCTTCTTCCTTTTTCTTTTCTTTTTTTTTTTTTTTTTTTTTTTTTGAGATGGAGTCTCGCTCTGTCCCCCAGGCTGGAGTGCAGTGGTGCGATCTTGGCTCACTGTAACCTCAGCCTCCTGGGTTCAAGCGATTCTCCTGCTTCAGCCTCCTGAGGAGCTGGGATTACAGGCAGGCACCACCATGCCCAGCTACTTTTTGTATTTTTAGTAGAGATGGGGTTTCACCATGTTGGCCAGGCTGGTGTGGAACTCCTGACCTCAAGTGATCCGCCCACCTCAGCCTCCCAAAGCGCTGGGATTATAGGCGTGAGCCACTGCGCCCGGCTTGATGGTTTTTTTCTTCCTATCCCCTCCCCCTGACCAATGCTGATGTCTCAGACTGAACTTACTAAAACCACTGATTGTTTTCACCTGAACTGCTTCTAAGCCATGTCTGGCCCCCTGTGCATTGCTGAGGTCGTACACAGATCTCTGATCACTTGATCCTGTTAGGTTTACCTAACCATTTTTTTTTTTTTTTTTTTTTCCTTTTTTGAGACGGAGTTTCACTCATGTTACCCAGGCTGGAGTGCAATGGCGCGATCTCGGCTCACCGCAACCTCCGCCTCCTGGGTTTAGGCAATTCTCCTGCCTCAGCCTCCTGAGTAGCTGGGACTACAGGCACGCGCCACCATGCCCAGCTAATTTTTTGTAGTTTTAGTAGAGACGGGGTTTCACCATGTTGACCAGGATGGTCTCGATCTCTTGACCTCGTGATCCACCCGCCTCGGCCTCCCAAAGTGCTGGGATTACAGGCGTGAGCCACCGAGGTTTACCTAACCATTCTATACATAAAGATGATTTTTGGATCCTTGTCTTTCGGTGTTTACTACCCTGAAGGATTATATCTGTGAAATGTGATACTATATTTTCATATAAGCTGTTAATAAATTTTTTTTTTTTTTTTTTTTTTTTTTTGACGGGGTTTTTTTGTTTTTTCCCAGCCTGGGGTGCAATGGCGCGATCTCGGCTCACCGCAACCTCCGCCTCCTGGGCTCAGGCAATTCTCCTGCCTCAGCCTCCTGAGTAGCTGGGATTACAGGCACGCGCCACCATGCCCAGCTAATTTTTTGTATTTTTAGTAGAGATGGGGTTTCACCATGTTGACCAGGATGGTCTCAATCTCTTGAACTCGTGATCCACCCGCCTCGGCCTCCCAAAGTGCTGGGATTACAGGCTTGAGCCACCCGCCCGGCCAATAAAAATATTTAACAGGAAAGAGACGGAGACAAAACCCGAAAGTACGCAAATGTTCTGGTTGGTATCAATCCCCGCCACACTGAGAAGTAGCAAGAATAAATGGTTTTGTAGGTGGGATGGAGTCAGATCATAATGGGCCTCAAAAGAAGGAAATAGAAAGGCTCAGTAGGTTTTTGGGTAGAAGAGTGATACGAGGAACAATCTGGTATAGCAAAAAACCGAAACACTAACCTTGGAACTCAACAGATCTGGATCTGATCTGCAATTCCAGCTTTATTGCTTATTGGCTGTAGAACTTTGTGCAAATTAACCACTCTGAGCATCAGTTTCTTCTCCTGTAAAATGGGATAACAACTACCTTTAGGATTTATTGTGAAGATTACATGAGATAGCTTATATGAAGAGCCTAGTACATAACAGGTGCTCAATAAATGAAGAAAAACGAGAGAGGGTGAAGAAAGTCATGCTCAGAACAGGCCCAGGTCTAGTTCTAGTTCCCTCCCTCCTTCCCTTCCTACCTTCCTTCCTTCCTTCCTTTCTCTTTTTTTTTTTTTTTTTTTTTGACAGATTCATGCTCTATTACCCAGTCTGGAGTGCAGTGGCACGATCTCAGCTCACTGCAACCTCCACCTCCCAGGTTCAAGTGATTCTCCTGCCTCAGTCTCCTGAGTAGCAAAGATTGCAGGCATATGGCACCACATCCAGCTAATTTTTGTATTTTTAGTGGGGTTTCACCATGTTGACCAGGCTGATTTTGACCTCCTGACCTTAGGTGATCCGCCCACCTCAGTGTCCCATGCCTGGGATTACAGGCATGAGCCACCGTGCCCGGCCAGGTCTGGTGTTCGAAGAAGGACTGCATTTGTAGTAAATCCAAGTGGGAAGTCTACTGCTAAGGCTACTGTGAGGGCTTAAAATGACTCACTGGGGCTTGGTCTAGGGTTATATATACGGAATAGCAAATAGAAGGAAGCAGATCCAAATCACATGTTCAAAGGAGAATTGATACACCTTGGCCTCAAGTAAGGGGTGGAGGATGACAGAGAGAGGAGTCACAGGTAGCACCAAGGTCTTTACTCTGGGTCATGACAGGTAAGTACAAAGCGGGTGATGGTTTGCAGAAGATGGCTCATGTTTAGTCACTGAATTAGGCATGATACTAAGATACCCAGTGGATATGACCAGCGAGGAGGTGAAGAGAATTTTTTTTTTTTTTTTGTTTTTTTGTGAGACGGAGTTTCACTCTTGTTACCCAGGCTGGAGTGCAATGGCCCAATCTCGGCTCACCGCAACCTCCGTCTCCTGGGTTCAGGCAATTCCCCTGCCTCAGCCTCCTGAGTAGCTAGGATTACAGGCACGTGCCACCATGCCCAGCTGATTTTTTATATTTTTAGTAGAGACGGGGTTTCACCATGTTGACCAGGATGGTCTCGATCTCTTGACCTTGTGATCCACCCGCCTCGGCCTCCCAAAGTGCTGGGATTACAGGCTTGAGCCACCGCGCCCGGCCCTGGTGAAGAGATTTGATTAGAACTTCAGAGAGGCTGGGGGCAGTGGCTCACGCCTGGAATCCCAGCACCTTGGGAGGCTGAGGCAGCAGATCATGAGGTCAGGAGTTCAAGACCAGTCTGCCAACATAGTGAAACCCTGTCTCTACTAAAAATACAAAAATGAGCCAGGCGTGGTGGCGGGTGCCTGTAGTCCCAGCTACTCAGGAGGCTGAGGCAGGAGAATCACCTAACCCAGGAGGTGGAGGTTGCAGTGAGCCAAGATTGTGCCACGGCACTCCAGCCTAGGGTACAGAGTGAGACTCTGTTTGAAAAAAAAAAAAAAAAAACTGCCGGGCACGGTGGCACATGCCTATAGTCCCAGCTACTCAGGAGGCTGAGGTGGGAGGATCTCTTGAGCCCAGGAGATCTGGGCTGTAGTGTGCACTCTGCCAATCGGGTGTCCACAATAAGATTGGCATCAATATGGTGACCTCCCGAGAGCGGGGGACCATCAGGTTGCCTAAGGAGGGGTGAACTGGCCCAGGTCAGAAACGGAACAGGTCATAACTCCCGTGCTGATCAGTAGTGGGATCGCGCCTGTGAATAGCCACTGCACTGCAGCCTGGGCAACAGAGCAAGACCCCGTCTCTTAAAAAAAAAAAAAAAAAAAAAAGAACTTCAGAGAAAGAGGAGTCAGAGCCAAAGTTAGGTTTCTGGGAAGCACTCCATGCCAGTGGTAGCTGTAACCATTGGGTGAGGTCTTTGAGGGTGAGCTGGGAAGTGAACCAAGGACAGGACCCTGCAGGACACATCCGAGCCATGCTAATTCTGATTTAGGGCTGGAAAAGAAACTGCCCAACACCACTTTCCCTCCCCACCGTTCTCTGCCTTCTGGTCAGAGTTGAACAGATCAACCCAACCTGACACCCACCCACCCACTGCATCACTGGAAATAGACCTCTGTGCAGAGCCCACTGGAACCCAAACCTTCCAGGACTCTGCTTTTCTGTCCTGATGTCAGAAAGGACACAAGTTCTTGTCTAACCCACAGAACCCAGCTTGTTGCTGCAATCATGAACTCGAAAAGGGAGAGGCAGAAGGGATGCCATAGAAACTAACTTGGACAGGCCTGGTACAGTGGCTCACGTCTATAGCCCCAGCACTTTGGGAGGCCGAGGTGGGTGGATAACCTGAGGTCAGGAGTTTGAGACCAGCCTGACCAAGAGGGCAAAACCCCATCTCTACTAAAAATATAAAAATTAGCCAGGCGTGGTGGTGCACACCTGTAATCACAGCTACTCCGGAGGCTGAGTCAGGAGAATCACATGAACTCAGGAGGCAGAGGTTGCAGTGAACCAAGATCACACCATTGCACTCTAGCCTGGGTAACAAAGCAAAACTCCGTCTCAAAAAAAAAAAAAAAAAAAGTTGGGCACAGTGGCTCACACCTGTAATCTCAGCCCTTTGGAAGGCCGGGGTGAGCAGATTACCTAAGGTCAGGAGTTTGAGACCAGCCTGGCCAACATGTTGAAACCCCATCTCTACTAAAAATACAAAATTAGCCGGGTGTGGTGGTGGGTGCCTATAATCCCGGCTACTCAGGAGGCTGAGGCAAGATAATCACTTGAACCCAGGAGGCGGAGTGAGCAGAGATCCCATCATTGCACTCCAGCCTGGGTGACACAGTGAGACTCCATCTCAAAA